TAAAAAAATAAAAAATTCAAAATTTTAAGTTTGTGACACGTTTCACTTAACGTCTTTTTTAACGGTCATTAGAATCGAGGTACCTAAAGTGGTAACGTTAGGCACCTATATGAGTCAAAAAATAGTTTAGACACCTATTCGAAAAAACAGTATAATTTGAGTACTAATTTAAGTATTAAGCCCTTTTATATGTTTTATATGGCCATAAGGTGTTATATATCTATAAGAAGTATCACACCAAATTTTTCCCTTGTTCTCTTTTATGTTTCTCTGAAAAAAAAAATCATATTTAAACTTTTTTATAATCGAAGAGGAAGTAATTTTTGAATTTTAAACAAATGACATTTAATTACTAGATATTAATCTAAGAGTCAATAAGACTTGCCACACGAATTATAATCAAATTTCATTTTAGTCCCCTCCATTATTTTTAAATTTTATTTTGACCCCAATATACTCAATATATTAAGATGTGATAATTCATGGCCCCAAAGCTTGTAATTTGTTTTCCTTTGATTGTTGTTCTCTGAATTTCTTAAAATTCGACTTCCTTTTATAGAATTTGTTATTTTGTGATAAATCTGACCTTTTTTTCTAGTTTAAATGTCATTAATTTTTTTAGTTTGATATTTCTATAACGTTTTTATTCGATTGAATTTATATATTAATATTAATCAGGCAAAATTCCATAGATAATGTTATAAGAAAAATATTAGTTTACTTGGAGTAATGAGCGAAATATTTTCTGAAATGAGATGTTTATTATAGTGTTTTGGAAGACGTCGAGAAGACACAATTTTTTCGTTAAATTACATGTAACCGAAGCACCAAATCTAATAAAATAACAAAGTAGAAGACAACATATTTTTTCTGACTTTTTTTTTTCAAAAACACAAATGCACTGTAACAATCACTATATATCAAGAAATAATTCTTTTTACACCCTAAATAACTTTTTTTCCATCGTATTGTCCAAAATAAATCTACCCTATTAATTGTGTGGTGTTAATATTTTCATTTTATGAGAAAGAAATGAACCCACTGAAACAAAATTTGCATACTACTTTACGTTATGATTTTGTTTTGTGATATAAAAAATTAATTCATATAATTATATTATGTTTAATTCATGGAAAATAAAATTATAAATTGTAGAAGAAAAAAGTATGCACGTAACTTAATTATAAGGAATGGATTGATGCGTTTTTAGGATAGATGAGTCAATGAGTGGAGGACCTTTTTCCTTCGGAGGTGCCGAAATTCAATACACTGAAGAAAATAACACATGACAATACACAACCAAGCAGTCAACACTCACCGTTCTCATTCAATTCAACAATCAATTATCAAATCTCAGTTTTCAGCATAGTATTAGTTTGGGTAAACTACATGTTTATTATCTCAATTATCATTTTTGTTTCATTTTTGGTCACCTGATTATCTTTTGATTCAAAAGCATATACAACATTATGTTTCGTTTTGGTCACCACCGTTAAAAAATAACGATGATGCTGACTGTCACCATAAGATAATACCATGTCATATTTAATTTTTTTTTAAATATCATGTCAATCGTTATGTACTTATGTTAATTTTTTAACGACGAGTGACTAAAATGAAACCGAAACTTAATGTTAAATATGATTTTGAAACAACATAATAGTTTGGTGACTAAAGTAGAACAAAGTGAGAATTGAGGTACTAAACTTGTAATTTATCCTATTAGTTTTGTAACTATATAATCTAAAAATGATATGGTTTCAATGTAATGAGAGAATTCGGGCTTAGACCCTATGTTATTTAGAGTTTTAGAATTAGTCTCAACTGGATTTTAAGATGACCTAAAAATAAAGAAATTTTTTATTTGGTCCTTTAAATTGATCACTAATTCAACACTCCTAAGTAACCGAAATAAGTTTAAAATCAAAGAAATATGTAATCCACCATAACTTGAAGCAAGCTTGAAGAAATTGGGGTTTTCCGTTTTACACATTGAAATTGAATTATATAAAACATCATAATGAATGAAAATCAACCAAGAAAGATATTTGTTATCTTAATTTAGAAATTGATTGGTAAAGCGTGATGAATCTTCAAGATGACACAAAACTACCTTATGTGAAAAATGTCAAAAATTGGAGGCCTTTTCGTGTGATTTTAGAGAACATTTTGAAGGAAAAAAATTCATTTTTGATATTTGACCATGATTTGATGAACCAAAGACTTATGATCTGTTCGTTTAATATACTTGATTTTATGAAAAAAAGTACACACCCACATGCGTAGTTGTTTGGATCCGAAACATTTAAGGAGAATAATAACTCATTTAACATCGAAACCAATATATAGATTTAATTTTTTAGTGTAACATGAAGTTTTTTTTTAATTTATAAAGTTAAAATATTTAATATTATAGACATTAAACATTTAAGGGTAATATAATAAAAACATAAGTACATCATTGAAATCTCATAAGAGTTATTGAGTACCATTCATCAATGAGAGTTTTAACTACTTCAATGACTCAATATTTATACTTTACAAACAGTAAAAAATAAAAAGAAAAAGAAAGAAAACACAAGCTAATTATTTCTAAAAACACAAGCCAAGTGTAACTATATTTGTCTCTACTAAAATCTAACCACTTTAGTAAAATCTTACCATGTCACATTATATCATGTCCTCTAAAACTTTCTATATATAAGAAAGTTAATTTGATAAACAAGTACTTAAAATACGTTATTTTTTTAATATTTAAGGTTAAAATAAATATATAAAGTTATTTTTTTAATTAAAATAGATATTTAAATAATTTTTTTAAAAATTAAAATAAAAACCTAAAATATTTAAGTTTGTTAATAAAAGTCCACCTTAGTTTAGTACGAGGTGAAGAGTCTTGTGTGGTGTTGACTTAAGTTTGCATTGAGGATTTGGGGAAGAATATGAAAAGAGACCCTTTTCTTGAATTCACAACCTTTCCTTCTTTCGGTTATTTGTGGTGGGAAGAAAGATAATTACCCTCGTATCCATTAGTCTTGCCCCTAATCTTTAGGTGGTTGAAATTGTGATGGTTTAGACATTAAATGGACCTTATTGACATTTATTTATTCCTCGAAATGATTTTTTTTTTTCTATTTTCCAACCTACACAAATTAATGCTAATATTAATTATATATGTTTTCTATATTTCTATTGTTAATTTCATTATTTAAAACATATATGATATTTTTCATGGGTAATTTAAGTAAGATAAAACTAATATACAATGTCCCTTTTAGCTGTGGCTGAGATATTTATAGTGACTCTAATTAATGGTGTTAGACATTATATAATTATAACTATTGTAGATCAATATGCTATTTTTTTTTCCAGATCTATAATTTTAGTACGATGAATCACATGAGATTATCAGAGAATAAATCGCACAAATGTAATAATCCAAGGAATATGTGATTTCTGAATAAATCGTGGACGAAGATACTATTTTTAAAATGTATCTTCAGAAATATAAATTGTGTATGTATTTCAAATTAAACTTGTCTAAAAGATCAATGAGTTCATTCTAACCAAAGAACATTTAAGATGAATTCTTCCAACATAAATCCATTTCTTAAGATTCAAACTAATATTCTCACCCTCGTACCTTTTACGGAAAACAGAACTACCAGCACATCAACGACCAACTAGTCGCTTTGTTCATCATTGAGTTTTATAAATTTATTTCTTTTGTTGTACCTTGCAGTGTTACGAATATAGTAACATCCTCTTCTAAGTATAATATTTTAGTGATCCTTAAATGAACTTCAACAACAACTAGTTTACAATTGTACCTTGAATGATCTTCTTTAAGGCGATGTTTGTAATGTTTTTTACTAATTCGAGATGATTATAAAATAATATCTATTTGAAAGATCTTTAACCACCGAGATAGTTTTGTTCGTAAACTTTGGATAGTGATACAATTGATCAAATTTTCGTTTTTTGTTCTCTTCAATTGATTAAATAGTTAGTTTTACAATGATTTGATTTAAAAAATAAAGAAAAATCATTAAAAAACTAACCAAAATTTGAACTACATACATAATAATAACATTCATTTTTATAAAACTATAACAACAAAGTTAAACATTTAAACTACCCAACATTAAATTTAACAACAATAAAAGTTCAATTTGGCATACAGCATCACATGCACTAAAAATGTTAGCCTTTTACAAGTATGATTTAATGAAATAAAGCTTCACTTTGTTTATAGAGTAATTTAATTGCAATGTTTATGATTTGATTCTAAGTTGTTCACGGAGATTTGTACCTTGACAAACCTATAATATATGCAGGCAATAGAAATTTCATAATTTTCATACAATTTGCAGCTTACTCTACCCTTAACTTGATGACAACAATACTCATAATAATATTTTGAGAATTAATTATTCCTATAAAAGGGGTCAATTTCAACAGTTTATGGCTCAAATATATAGTAAAAAAAATTAGGCACAAAATTTTGAGGTATTATTAAAACGAATCCAAATTATATATTAATACCAGTTCATGCTTTTCCGGTTTGCGTTCTTTATTTTTGCCTTCCACATTGTTCACTCTACAGCTTAACTATAATGGCATCGAGTTAACTGTCAAACTAGCTAATTCCCAATTCAATAAATAATAGCCGAACCGAACTGAATGCATTAAATAATAACCGAACTGTTCTAAGAAAACCGACCGATCTCGAATGCTAGGGTTCGAATCAATTCTCGATTTTTCTTGGTTATTTTGCTTAGCTCTAGTTGTACCCAAAAAACGAGACAAAAGGAAAAGTAGCCAGACTCGGTGCGATTGCGAGTGTCAAAGTAGTCAAGCCGAGGATAAAGAAGAAGCAAATGAAGTGCTACCGATGCAAGAGGCCACACAAGTTGCGGAGATGCCCGGATTGAGCCAGGCGGTTCGAAAGGAAGGACAAGACCGAGAGTAGCGGGTCTGCAAGACTTGGTTCGATGATGTTCTACTGAATTCTAGCTTTTTATTCAGACTTAGTCTAACCCGATTACAGGTTTACAAGCATAGGAGCCAGGCAATGCCAAGTGCTCCATACCTGATCTGATCTCATGGAAACGGAAGAATTAATTTCACATAAACAAGGACCAAACTCGAATTTCTCATCTCTTCCGAGGTTTTAGATTCTAAGTACACTAGGCCCTCTCAAACACCAGAAATGATAACATAAAAAAGCACAAAAGGAAATATAAGGCATACATTTGGTGATTCAGCTATTTAACCTGGTGGCCATTGCATCTGTCTCCCACCAAGGACATGCAAGTGAAGATGATAAACTGATTGACCTGAGAGAGATGTATAAACATGAGCATGTGAAGTTTGAAGTGCAAAACAAGTCAAAATTATGAAAAGCAAGATGATAACTCACAGGCACTTGGACCGTTATTGATAACTACTCGAAACCCCTCGAGAATGCCTTCTTTTTCAGCAACGATTCGAGCAGCATAAAGAAGTTGTCCCAGTATCTCTCCATGCCTTTGTTCAGCCTGACAATTTATAAACCAGAAATTAACACCAGAGAAGTATTCCATCAAGGAAAAATGGGGGAGAATCCATATACAGATAGTTCTTTTCCGAGCCCATCTGACTCATGGATCCATGGTTAAAATGCAGAAAAGCAGCAAAAGGTAAACTTTAATTAATCACAACAGAAAAATTCACACATGGTTCAGCCAAGTTATGCAACAGAAATATAGATAATAGACCGACAAAACACCTTTCCAAGCTGTGTCAATCCATCCCTAAACTTTGGAATGACCAAAACATGAACAGGAGCATGTGGATTGATGTCTTTGAATGCTAAGACTTTATCATCTTCATACACAATGGTTGAAGGAATTTCCTTAGATATGATCTTGTCAAATCTGAGTCCAAGGAAAAAGGAATAAAAAACTAATACAATAGGTAAACAGCTTCAACATGTTCTTCCATATCTCATACAGAATTAATCAGCAGAATCAATTCTTTTGCCTAAAGTTTAACTTTACAAAATTACAAATAGCTTGCTTAAAACTTAAAAGAAGGTTCTTCCCTAAACTTGTATCGAAAGGGAGATGAAATTCCAAATTATTAAAGGTCCAACAAAACAAATTCCAGGCAATAACTGGAATGAGAAATCAAATCAGGGTGTTATAGAGGATACATGGTTGGAGCTCCGTTATCAGCATTGATTGCAGCTGCCTTTGCAGCAGCCTCTTCATCGTGTGTAGCACTAGCACGACATAGATATCTACAAAGAGTGATTCAGAGATATCAAGAAAGGCCAATAAAAAAATCAATATATAATTTGTACAATTTCTCTTCACTTCTCTAGTTGGCTAGACTAGAAAAGAGAAACACAGGCACCATCACAACTAGAATCCGATTGAACATTCTCTCTACCAAAAGAATTGAAAGAGAAAAGAAAAACCTGCGTGAGCGATTTGCTGTTAGAAAATTGATGGAGCTGGGATAAGCAGAGAGTCCTAGAGATGTTCTCACAGTTGCAGCAATCCTTCCAGTCGTTGTATAATTACTGTTCCAATCAAATACCCAGAATCAATGTTTATCACCATGTTCTTTTTAAAGGAAAACACACAAGATAAAAAGTACCGAAGAAGAGAGAAAGAGGTATGAGCAGCCATGGGTTTCAGGGCTGATATAATTTTCTGTTTATCTCAAGTGTTCCACGAAAGGTAGCTCTGAAAGTGAACAAAGTAAGCTCTTCTTAAACTAGTTATTTCTGATGGTGGGCTGATCTGGGTCATTGAATATTTTTGGGCCAACCCAATTCTTTGCCTGTTGTGGTACGTTCGGCAAGTTGGTGTGGCTCTGATTTTTGTTTTAGCCGTTTTTGGGTGGCTCTGATTAAAACCAGCACTAGACGCAAGCTTCAATTTGAGACTAAAGAAGCGAGAGAAGCTGAAAAGAAGAATGGCCAACTTTGTGCTGCAACTGCCGACAAGCAACTTGAGAAGCATCTCTGTTTATGCTTCATCTAACGGTACTGATCTTTTTCAAACTTTTCCATGTTAATAAAGTTGTGTTCTTTATGCCCTTTTCCAACATTTCTGATGCGATGGTGTATCTGTTGAAAGTAATAACCTTGGGATTAGTGGTTTATTACTATTAACTTTTATTTTGATTTGGTTCTTCTTTGTTGGAATTGGATGAACATAGGGGCTCCTCCGGGTACTGGTTCACAAAACGGTGGACCAGTGGTTTTGGAGCTTCCACTTGAAAAGATTAGGAGACCCCTAATGCGCACCAGAGCAAATGATCCTAACAAAGTCCAGGAACTCATGGACAGCATTCGACAAATTGGACTTCAAGTGCCTGTATGCCCTTTTTTTCTTTTGTTTATTTCTTTGTTTTAGTAAGTAAATGCAATGGTTCACAGCATGGATGGACAGAGGGTGAGAGGCCCACTGAAAATTTCAAATTCTCATATAGTTAAGTTATTTTTTCTTTCTGTATTTTCTGTTAATGATCTAATATAGTTTTCTTTTTATATTCGTACCCTGAAATAAAATCTTAGGTCCCTTCTGATTGAGAGTACTTTAAAGAACAATTACAATTATTGGACATCTAGTTCCCAGATCAACTGGAAGGTTCTATCTTTGAAGTATCTTTTTACACACACCCCGACTCAATATTTTGATTTGCATATTTAGTTTGAATCTGGGTATATAAGAGCTCAAAATTTTGAGCATTTTAAGGTTGAGGAGGGTAATATATAAAAGATATCTGAGATTTTAATCTGGACAAAGAATAATACTAATAGAATACTGTATCTGGTTTACTTGCAGATTGACGTACTTGAAGTTGATGGAGTTTACTATGGTATGTGCCCATGGATCCTGTACTTATTTCTCAAATTGTAAACCACTCAGTTCTTGGCTACATCTGGAAGTAATTATCAAAAGAAAACGAGGAGTAGAACTTACATGTATCAAATATTTCATAGGCAAATACCTTGGGGGCAGGGACGGACGTAATATTTTAAGTCAAGTGGGCGAACTTGAACTTATAAAATTTTCAGGAGGCGAACACAGATTTTCAATAGAAAATACATAGAAAAAATCTAAAATATATGATAATTTAAAATTTTCAGGCCCATGTCCATCACTTGGAGAATGGGGTGTAGAACTTACATGTATCATAATTGTACAGGTTTCTCCGGTTGCCATCGGTATGAAGCTCACCAGCGCCTTGGACTCCCAACGATCCGTTGCAAAATTCGACGAGGAACCAAAGAAACTCTCAGGTTTTGGCTTGCTCAGGCCTTTTCATCACTTTGTTGTACTCATAAAAACTACCTAAGACCAAACTCTTGTTAGCTTTATCTTCATTTTGCAGGCATCATCTTCGTTGAATGGTAGTGTATGCTCTTAAAGAGCATTCGCAACTATGCTCGTCTCAGCTCCTTAGAAGTTCACTATGTGTTTATTCTGAACTTATAACTAAGTTTGTATATTGCTGTTTCAAACAACTTCATAGGCTGAAACATTATAGCCATAACCGGCAGTAGTACACAGTTTTTTTACCAGTAGAAAAATGTAAATACCTGCTATGTCACATGAAGTGATCATATTATACCTGCATTGTATTTGAGGCTCTCATGATACAATCCATTTTGGTTCAGGTTCATGAGAACCAAGGCAACTCGATTCACAGGTTTGTTTTAACCATTGCGAATGCAGCAGCTTTGCTCCCTTCTTTAGATACTCTTCAGCTTGAACCTATCATTGTTACTATAAACAAATTTTTCTTTTCTTCTCTCTTAGCATATTAGCCATGGTTTCATTGTCTGCCACAAGCGACTTTGTGCATCTTAATGCACCAACGAACTTCCCGAACAACAGGGACGGTGTTATGATTCTAGTTCAAGGGGGCAAAATATAATTAATAAAAAAAATGAAGGGGACAAAATCAAAATAAACCAAAATTTAAAGGCCTAAATAGGTATTCCTCTCTATTTTTTAATGATAAAAAAATTAAAGAGTCCCTGGGCCACTACATAGCTCCGTCACTGCCGAACAAGATTATGTGTGTCAACTTCCTATAAGGCACTGACAGTGGAATAGGTTGTATCGATAGATCACACCATGTTTCGTTCCAATTTTTCGATATTGCAATCAAGATAGCTAAATCTGAGTACCTTCTATAGTATCATTAAGATCTAATCCTCATAAGTGTTATTCTTTAGCAATTGTAATGATACAATTCAACCACTTATTTTATTCGCTGTTATTGTTAATCACGAGTAATCCATTTTGCCAATCAAACATTTTAGTCTTTTACACTATAACTTCTCTATCAACAGCTGCATTTGTTGCACTTACTTTCGAAGGTTGATGAAGTGTTTGCATTCCATCAGACGAATAAGTCAAAATTTAATCGTTAGGATATCTTACGGAAAATTCAGGAGGGCTCGAAGCCTCTCCTGCAAAGGAGTGGCAGCGAAAATATAATTTACGGAAGAGATACAACAATCCTATCAATATACTAGGAATCAATCAATACGTCTAGAAATTTATGAACGATTTATAGTATTTGTGGAGCATCTCATGGAATAAACCCAAAACATAAATTATTATAATAACAGTGGTACAAACTCACCAACCCCACAAAAAATAGAAACATAAAAAAGCCTTTTGCTGTTGCACTCAATACTAGGAGAGAAGCAAGAAAGTCGCAGTTTGTAGTGAATTACAAATCTGCAACTGAACCAGTGTTGAGATTTACGTTCCGGATGGCTTCCAGAATGTTGTGGGCTTCAAGGGCCGCTTCTTACCTCAGGATCTCTGTCTTCCATAGAGGCTTCTCCACTGGTAACGATTTCCTTCTTCTTTTCTCTCTCTATTCTTTTTTTTTTTATTTTTTATGGTTCCCTTGTATTGTTTATACGATCGTGAGGACACTGATATCTGAAAAAATGGTTTTGGGTGTTGATGGTAATCGGGATCTCGATTTTGGGATTGATCCAACGCTTTTTTTTTCAGGAAAAATGATTTGATTTATGTGAAAGGCTATTTTTTTTCTTCTTTACGCTAATACATGGTGTTAAGAAGTTTTGGATTTCTGCTTTCTGATTGATATATACTTGTCCCAAATTTCTGGATTCTGTTTCTGATCAATCATGTGCAGTTATTGATTGATTCATAACTTTACGTTCAGTGGAAATAAAGTAGCCTAACCTAAAAGCCTTTCATTTGTTGGGAATAAATAAAAAAACATTTTTTTAATTCTCTATATAGCATTTGTACGATTAGAAATGTGTTGAAGACTTGGCATTAGAACATTAGGACTGATGGTGACCTAGTGGTGATGACATTGGTAAAACGGTGGAGCAGGGATGGACCGGCCTCAAAAAAATTTCAAATTATCATATATATATTTAGATATTTTTTGTATTTTCTATTGATAATCTATTTTCTTCTTTTAAATTTTTATAAGTTCAGTCTCCTAAAATTTTTTAGGCTTGCCTCTCTAACATAAAATCCTGCCTCCCTAGAGGAGATAATGGCACCTGGAAACTTTTGATGCAGTTGCTTGAAGCAACCAAAGTTCCTTGCTCGTGAAAAAGTAATGATGTTAGCGTTTTGCATCATTGTTGCCTTATTTGGACATGAAAGGGAGAAAAAGGTGACGAATCCAGGAAATAGCAGTGCGAATATAGGCACCTTTTGTTGGTGTATCAAAATAAATAGAAGTGAGGAGGGTTTGGTATAGCTGCAACAGATTAATGGGTTGTAATGCCTGCAGGTTATAGTGTTTATTAATCCTTCATATTCATTCTGATTCTGATGGCTCATTCCAATTTCCATTAGCAGCATTTTTTTTGTTAAACAGAGTCAAGGAAATGTGTTGGATATTTGCCTACTGGTATGTATTAACTATATCGGAATTTGTAATTGCAAATTAGCAGAAACAGAAAGGATTCTTACCTTCCCAAATTCTTAGTTTATTTATCTTCTCAACCTCTGGCAGGTGTCATATCTGTGATCTTACGGTTCATTGCTGATTTTCTGTTTCATTGAGCTTCACGTCTGGAATTGAAATTAGCAATATTCAACTTTTTTTTCACTATGATATAAATTCAAACTTTGCTCTGTGGAAGAACGGTTCCTTGTTATTTCACTATTAGGCTAAGACCAATTTACTATTGGCATGTTCAAATGTTATATTACCTGTATTTAATCGGATGTTCAATTCTTTAAAGTTTTAATGCCTTAATCAGCTGCAATTTACGGTTACTTTTGTCTAGAGTTGTAACTTGATTATCTGTTTTTCGTTGTCATTGCTTGTTCTTGTTGTTTGTGTTACTGCAGCTAATGCTTCTCTTCCATGTTCCTGCAGTTTTAAAGGACCTGAAATATGCTGATTCTCATGAGTGGGTGAAGGTTAATGGTAATGCTGCCACTATTGGTATTACTGATCATGCTCAAGATCATTTAGGTGATGTTGTGTATGTTGAATTACCCGAAGTGGGAGCTGCTGTAAAGCAAGGTGACAGTTTTGGAGCAGTTGAAAGTGTCAAGGCTACTAGTGATGTTAACTCTCCTGTATCGGGAAAAGTGGTTGAAGTTAATGAAGGGCTCAGCAGCTCTCCTGCTTTGGTTAGCTCTTCCATCCTATCTTAGACTATTCCTTTCGGATTTTTTTATTAATACGGTTTTACTAATTGCGTCTTCTATGCTTTTTACTGTGTCGTGTCTTCTATGTGTGCGCTTGTGTGCATGCATTGTTGTGCTTGTGTTTACCCCCCATAATGCCTGTGCTCTTCCATACTGAATGCTTCCCGTGCACTGTCCAATTATTCATTCTTTTCACTTTTTAATTGATCTTAACTACCTGTAACCGGCCTTGTGTTGGAATGCTTCTCTTGATTTGCTATGAGCTGCAATTTTAAATGGATCATTTCAATATTTTAAGTGATACATTTTAATTGCTTTATTGGAATTCATTTGAGCAATATACTATTCACCTTTTCACATGTGTGCAATCTTTTTTCTACCAAAATTTAGGTTAACTCAAGTCCATATGAGGATGGATGGATTATAAAGGTTGAGATGAATGATGCTGGGGAGTTGAAAAACTTGATGGATTCAGAAGAATACTCCAAGTTCTGCGAGGAAGAAGATTCAAAGCACTAAAGACCAGATGCCCCGGCATTGTTGGATCTTGACGCATTCTTACGAGAAGGATGCTATGCAAAGAGAGATAACAACTATATCCGGGAAACCGACTGGTTTAGAAACGTAGTTTTTTGTTTCTAGATGTTCCCAATCTATAAGACTGTACTTCCATGCCCTTGTATTCGGGTTCAGATTGGGTGTCATGTTTACTTAAGCTAGATCAAGGAATTAGTGGCTGGTTTTCGGTTTGGAACCGAGTGATTTAACCATCAGTAGTGTGGGAAATTTGGGCTTTTGTTGATGGAAATAGTGCTGAAAAGTGAAAAGCAATGCAAACAATGCGACGTTTACAAATCAAGGAATGACTCAGGTTGATGTTATTACTTGTATCTAATGCCTGCACCAACCACATTGATGGTGAAACGGTTGAGGCCTGAAGGGCTGAACTCTAGTTTCCTTAGCCCGAGCCTGTTTGAGAATGCTTCTAGCAACCGAAAAGTGATTTTTTTTTCACCCCTACAAGTAAAGTTAAACACTTGAAAATTAAACTAAAATTATGGTTCAAAAAATGATTTTTAATCTAACATCAAAAAGCTCAAATTTCTAGTTTTTACTATGAAAAATCATTCGTTGGGTGAAATTATATTTTTATCCTCAATTATTTAATTTTAATTAGTTTTTAAATTAATACACGTACATATATAATTATTTATTAATTTTTTTTATTAAGGTCTAAATTGAATCTTTTTAACTTGAGAAGCCAACTTTTATTAAGGAAATACTAAAGCAAATGTGTCCAGTCGTACCCACTACCTAAGTGGGAAAAAGAAACAAATAAATGAAAGCTAATAAATTAGAGGTGAAGTGAGGTCAAGAAGATTTAGGATTAATCCTTTTATGTTCATTGTTTCCTTTCTATTTATTTTTTAGAGATACAATTATGTACAGTTGTGAAACACTTATTCTTAAAGGATTATACAATGGTCTACACTCATTTGACAAGATGAAACATCTTGTATTTGGTTTTGAATCTCAGGAAGAGAGTCTTGTGGTGCATGAATCAACTAACTCAAACCATGAAAGAAAAAGCGAGCGTTCTTCTAATAATAAAGGAAGGAGCATATCCAAATCTTCCAACCAAGGTAAAAGTTGTTACTTTTGTAAAAAGAAATATCATGTTAAATCAGAGTGTTACAAGTTATAGAATAAAATTAAGAGAGAAGCTAAAGAGTAAAACTCTGAAAAATCTGGTGAAGCCAGTGTAGTAGAGGAGTGCGATGACGGAGAACTCCTAGTTGCGCCTGACAACAACTCAATAACAAGTTATGAGTGGATACTTGACTATGTTAGCAGTTTTCATATGTCTCCTAATTGTGATTGGTTTGCGACATATAAAGTTGTATCTACAAGTGATGTATATTTGGGAAATAATGTCTCTTGTAAAGTCGTAGGTATTG